CCGAACATGCCACTGGACTTGGAGAGGCTCGTCGTCATGATAGGTGAATCGCCTTACATTTTGGCCGGACGAATGGGAAGAGGGAGCGGAGACGGGACATAGAAGTCTGAACTGTCAGGTGCCGGCGCCCCAGCTTCTACCAGCCTCTGCACTTTGCGGACTGCACACGCCGGGGCTCCCTGCGAGCCGCCGGGCGCCAGGTTTAGCTCAGTGGCGGTCACGGTCGCCACTCAGAGGAAAGGGACGGAGGTGGACAGCACCCATGCCGCTGCTGTGCAACCGGGACGCCATCCTCGTGGCCCTTCCCCTGGGAGCGAGGTCTCCGCGCCACGCGCACACGTGGACGCAGCTGAGGTCTCTGCTCCTCCCAGCACCCTGCTCCCGCCGTGTTTGGTCGACCTGGCGGAGGCAGCGTTACCAGACGGACCCTCGCAAAGAAACCCTCGGAAAGTTTTCGGAGGCCAAGCAGATCCACCCGCTGCCCCTCGGGTTGTTTGATTTTCTTGTACTTATTTGTTTTCGAATTGGCGGGCGCTGGTCTTTACGTGCGGCGCTGGGAAGTTGCAAAGAGCGTGGGTGTGGGCCCTGAAGCAGTGCCCTAGGCCAGCCCCGCCGGCCGGGAGCACAGCCAAGGCATGGCTGGGCGCCTGAGAAAAAGGGAGACTAAGCTGCCCTTCGAGGGGGTTCACCTTTAGCCTTTGGGACGCAACAGGAGAGCAGTCAGGGTCAGCAGCTCTCGATTAGGAGGTGCAAAAGCTGGGAGGAGGGGCAGACAGCTGAGAATGGGTGCCGGGAGGAGGCCAGGCGGACGCCGAGGCCCCAAGGTCTCGGCTGCCCCTGTGGGGCGGGGCCGCGCAGGTTCCCTCCCGCTCCCCAGGTAGCCCAGAGGGGAGGCGGCGGGGAGGGGCGGGCGCCTTGAACCTGACTCAGGGGGAAGAGAAACCCGGCTGCGGCTCAAAGCCGTTTCTTGCAGATCGAGTGTCATCTCGACAGGGATTATTACCCAGGTCAGCGAAATGAGTCTGAACCCCTTTTCTAGAATCACAGTAGCGGCTCGCTCTCCTCCCTCTCCCCAACCCCTTGCACCTCTTTTCTTTTTCGTTTCTTTGCACGGTTTGTTTCCTTGACAGAATGTAATATTCATAATTGTAGTCTCGTAACCACACCGGGTCTAGCAGGTGGGGGAGTTGAGCGCATCAAGCTTGAAATCAGCCTTTGAAAGTCCTCTGACTGTTGAGTCTGAGATCTTGTCAGAGCAGATAAAGGAAAAGTTATTTCGGGTCCCCTGTAGAAATTAATCATGCTACTGAGGCCACCGGGACAATTTAGAGCAAGGAAATCGCATGCAAAGCTCAAAGACAAGCCCCGGTGCCAAGGCTGCTGATAGACGCAGGAGCTGCCTGTGAGCAGCCCTAGACTCGCCCTGCACCCTCACGGTTGCTCCGGCCATGCAGAAGTCACACACCACGTTTCTGCCAAGACCTTGACTTTGCACATCTCTGCCTCTGACAGCAGAGGCACGGAAGACGTGGATCCATCATTCATTAACGCTGGAAAGTACTGTAGAAATAGAATTCAATCCCTTATGTATAGGAGAGGAACTGAGGTCCCGAGAGAGAGGAAGTGATTTGTCCCAGCCAGGCAGCGAGGTGGAGGCCAAACGAGGGCGGGCACCTTTACCTTCAGAAGCCTAAGTCCTGTTAGATTCCGGTTCTCTCACCTGCCGTGGGCTGCCCCCTGTGGGCGGCTGAACGCGTTGCTCCTTCCTGGGTTGCTACACTGTTGCCAAGAGAGGGGTGCCCAATTACTAGTTTGGAAAATGCTTTCAGTTCTGAAAATGGGGTTTCTAGGTCCAGCCAAACCAAAAATTTTAATTCGAGTTGGAACTATGGCTCTCCACTTTCAGATGATTACAAATCATAAATACAGTTTAGTGGGATTCTTTTATTTTTTTGGTGAGGGAGGATGTTAAGTTTGGGTCACATCTGTCAATAATGTAACCTGGACTGTTGGCCAAAATAATAGCTTTAAATTATGGAAGGCCCCAATTTAGGATTTTTGATAAGCACTTTTGTTTGACTTATAAGGGGTTGATTAATATACACTTGTGAGTGAGTTTGGAAAAACACCTGATATGAATATAAATTCCTTTTTAAAACAATTTGCATTATGATATTGCTTTATATCATTATTTTGATTGGTCTCAGTTGGATGGATTTCGCAATATTTCAATGACAAATTTTTATGAAGTTTCTAAGATAGTATCGTTTTCCTTATATAAATTAAGTTTTATAGGAAAAATCATAACAAAAGCACTTTTGAAAATTGCAATAGATTCTTTTTAGAACCATGCATTTCTTCTCAGAGAATCCCTCAGTTTTGAATCAGGTACATTTTAATATATTTCAAACACCCTTCAGTCAGAGACAGAAAAAAACAAAAGAGTAAGATTCTGACTTCCAAATGGCCACATTATTCACTTAGTTACTGTGGAAACAGAATGTTGTAAACATAACCACAAGTCAGATCAACCTGGCCTGGAGTTTTGAACAGTGTGATATTAATGTTATTTACAAAACAGTTTGATCACTTGAGGGTCTTATCTTTCCTCAGATTTTAAAAATCCTTTCCTCTTAGGTCTCCTAGTCTTCTAATCATTAAGGGATGACTATAATTATGTTATTTAATGTACTACTTCTTGAATTGTTTTTAATAAAACACCAACCCCCATTGGAATAACATAATTGAGTTGTTTATTGTGTTTGGGAAATATTTAAACGATGCGACGTATGCCAAAGATTGAGTGTGTATTTATATAATAAAGAACATGGGCTCTTGTTCCTGTTCTTGTCCTTAACTTTAAGTTTTAAACTTAAACCTTCATTGGCTGGAAGGTTGCCAAATGTGTAATTTGTCACTGGCCTCACAGTGACAGCAGGTTTAAACATGCCAAGCAATAGAAAAGTGCCAGGTCCTTTGCGGTATCTGTGGATACCAATAACAGCAGAACCAGTTTACAATACGAGAGCAACAGCATGCAGAAAGCAATCTTGTTGTGCAAGTTTTCAAAGTTTTATCTCCATAACCTTTGAAAAGATCCTCGAGGACTTTTTGTGTAAGTTTTGTAATCCAATAGTTTAAATCCTCTTGTTTCAGCCCACATCTGCCTTCTTATTTCTGCAGCATCTACAGTAGTGACGAAGACGATGAAGACATCGAGATGTGTGACCATGACTACGATGGGCTGCTTCCCAAGTCTGGAAAACGTCACTTGGGGAAAACTAGGTGGACCAGAGAAGAGGTAATTACTCACTTTATCAAAAAATGAAAAGGGCCAGTTGGTGGCGTGGAGGTTAAGGTGGCTGGGTCCCAGATAACTGACTGCATGTTTCAAGTCTTAGACCCAGCAGCTTGAAAAACACTTGAACTGCACGTGTGTGTGTGCCCAAAATCCCAGGAGGAAAATGGAGGAGAACGAACTGTAGCAAGGCCATCCTCCCTGAGGGGTGCTTTCTCTCTCTCTCTTTGTCTCTCTCCAGCAAGTCCACTGCCTCTAGCAAAAAAAAGAAAAACTTTAATGGAAGAAATGTAGAATGTATAATATATGAAAAACAAAATTTAGCTAAACTACAGGTGCTCAAACTCCTTAGTAGCTTCTTTGAGATCTTACTCTAGCCTGCCTTTGCAGAGGGCCCACCACTCACCATCCTCCCCTACCTCCAATT